GTGAGCGTCAGGCCCTGCCAGCCCTGGGCCTGTGGGCTTTAGGGGTCAGGAGGGGTGAGAGCAGGGGGCCAGAGCTGGTGTCCCTGTTTGGGACAGGAGGGTAGTCAGCAGTGGGCAGCTGAGCAGGACTGGGTATGGGGAGAGCTGGCGCAGGGTCTGGCTTGAGGCTGGGGGGTGGTGGAGAGACACATAGAGAGCCTTGTCTCTGAGCAGGGAGACGAGGGTGGGCTGAGAGGTCTCTGCTGATGCCTGCTGGTCCAGAGCTATCACGGGAGCCTGACTGTGGATGAGCTGGTGGCTCGGAGAGAGCTGGGGGCCGGAGGCGCTCTGCAGGCTGGAGTCTGACAGCCGTGCTTGTTGCAGATCCCTGGGAAGCTGCTGTTCGTCCTGGTGAAGCGCTACCTGTGTGTCACTTCTCTCATGGACAAGCTCAGCAGTGGTGCGGAGCAGGGAGGGGAGCAGCAGGAGTGCGCTGTGCCCAGCCTGCTCGCTGAGGAGAGGAGCCGCGTGAAGCAGGAGTTTGAGTTCAGCATGGCTATGGCAAACCTCATCCTGGAGCTGGTGCACGTGATGGGCTGGGACCACAGCCACAAGCCAGAGCTGCTGCCCCAACAGGAGCTGCGGCCTCGCACCACCCACTCCATCTTCCAGCCCAAGACCCCAGCCTGCACTGCTGCCCAAATGCCTGTGCTTACTTCAAATCATGGTCCCCACAAAAAGCAGGGTCGTGCCTTCCTGACCCCATCAGACTTTGCAGACCGCAGTGGCTATGTGGAGTACTTACAGGCAAACCTGGTGCGCGGCATGAGGGTGCGCTTGCTGGAGGACTGTGGTGATGTTAGAGCTGGGGAGGAAGGCGAGTTTCTTCAGAGCACTAATAGCATGCACACAGTGCAGGTAGGTCACTAGTGGAAGTAGTCTGGCTGGGATGGTAGAGGGGAGTGACAGGGGTGACTGATGATTTCCTGATGGTGTCTTCACGTGCAGGAAGTTGGACAATAGGCGTTATCATAATTAGGACACTGTCTACATCTGTCCTAGCAAAGAAGTCACCTTTCAGAACTGGAAGTGCGGGTCCTGAGGAAAGCCTCAATTTTCATCAACATCTTCAACTAGATCAGGTTGCTCAGAGCCCCGTCCAACCTGACCTTGAATGTTTCCCGGGATGGGGCATCCACCACCTCTCTGGGCAACCTGTGCCAGTGCTTCACCACCCTCAGCATAAAAAAAGTCTTCCTTGTATCTAGTCTGACTCTACCCTCTTTTAGTTTAAAACCATTCCCCCTTGTCCTATTGCAACAGGCCCTGCTAAAAAGTCTGT